CCACATGAAAAACGTGAAACATTGTCTTCTGCAGCTCACATCTTCATTCTCTTGTTCGCTCATAATCTGGGAAGGAAAAACAAGCTTTCCTACTTTATCCAGTCCCAACTGATTTCTCAATTTAGAATGAACGAGTCCAAAAGAAGTGAATATTCTTTGGACACCAGCTGAAGAGGCCACTGCTGTTAATTGTGAAGTCATTACTTCAACAGTTTCTGAATCGAAGTGCTTAAGTGACTTCTACCAGTTCACTGGTGTGACTTTAAAACATCATCACTAAACATATACAGTGGTGCCTCCCTTAACAAGCGCCCCGGTTGACGATGAAATCGCATAGCGATTTGTTTTTTGCGGTCACAAAAGCGATCGCATTGCGATGTTTTAAATGGGAAAAAATCGCTTTGCGATGATCGGTAAACTGTTTCACTTACCGATTTTCGCATAGTGATGTTTTTCCAACAGCTGATCGGTGGTTCCAAAATGGCAGCTGGGTAAAAAACATGGCCGCCTGCTGTGTTTTGGGACGGATTCCTCGCATACCAGGCAGTGGAAATGGCCGCCGTATGGAGGATTTCCGCTTAAAGGTAAGTTTTTCGCCCATAGGAACGCATTGAAGGGGTTTCCAGTGCATTCCTGTGGGCTTTTAAAAATCGCTGAACGATGTTTTCAGTTAGCGGCGATTTTTGCTGCACTGATTAACATCGCTAAGCGAGGCACCACTGTATTTCTTGAATGGTTTCCTCTTAGCTCTGAAGTTTAGTTGTAGTTGGCATTACAGATGGGTGATTGCTGGATACCCATGTCGTGGATGATCCTCTTCTTCAGCACTTCAGGTTTGACCCTAGTACCTGATATTGACAATATTTGCAAGAAAGTGAGCTGGAGACAGTGCTTGTCCCATACATTTTTTTAATCTTGTAAATTCATTCTGTAAGTGTGCAGTTCTGTTTTTAAGTGTTCATTCAGTTCCTTCCAAATTTCAACACCCTCAACACTGAAACAGCTATTTTTTAATATATTGTTTAAAACTTTAGAAATGGGTTTCAACATTTCTCTTAAGCCAAATGTTGAGGATTTTGGCTGTGACAATGGCATTTATTTTTTCTTGATTTTGCTCACTGTCATCAGAATACACTAGTTCTTAATACACAATATTGTTCAAAACAGTCCACTACAGAGTTACATGTAACATCTTGTGGAAGTGTTAGCTTGGTTCCATCCTTTCAGAGCTGCTGCAGCAAAATGATTGTTACGGAAGTATTTCACAACTTCAACAACATTATTCTATATTTCTGGAACACCAGAAGTCTTTGGCTATTAATAAAGTGTGGGCTTTCAGGCAGACGGTAAGAAGAATTTGTAGCATAAACAACTGAGTCTTTTCCATCGATTGACTCTTTCTAATCTGCTGATTTTTATCATAAATTTATCTATGGTGGTTCCAGATTGTTTCTTTTAAGTGATATATTGTGGGTATGTGTGCCTCTCCTGGAGAGATCTGAAACTGTAGAACAAGAAGATGGTGATTTAGAAGGTTGATAGTTTCCAGAATTTCTTATGTTGATGGTGGATTCACCTAAACAAAACAAAAATCAATGCTGTTACTTTATCATTTAAGCTATTCATGAATATTATGTGTTTCCCATTGTATTCACTCAGTACTGTATTGCCTAAAAAGGAATAATTGCTTATTTTAACCCATTATTTCTTTTTATCAACTGTGTAAAAATGCAGTGCCATGCAGTAGCAATAATGAATGTATAGTATTGCTCCAGCATGACAATACCTCACGGCCGTCTTTTTAGAAAATAAGGTGAAATACACATAGTTTACGAATCTGAAGTGCCTGTCTCTTCAGACATGTTCCTTTGATCAGAGCACTTCTACTGATATTGTTTCATTTGGGCCACCAGGCATTGCATTTCTTTGCTACATTGCATGCATTTTGCACACATACTTCCTTTCCTGATAAGTAGAGGAACTTCATTAAAATTTTCCCACACTGGGTCTTTTTTATGGTCTACTGCCATTTTGCTCCTCAAGGGGGGGAATAAAGAACTTCATGCTATGTGCACGAAGATCCCATGGTTTGTAAGCTACTCAGAAGATTTCACTTTCATTTTTACTGCTTGCCCCACCCTCCTCACAATTAGAGCCTGGTACGGATATATTTCACTCCGAACAATCTTCAAACCTAGCATTTAAGTTCATTGTTTGTACATAGATTTGCAGAACGACAACAGGATTAAGGTCTTTTCATGAACTTTGTTTATTTTATAGTATTTTTACTGTGGAAAAAGTGAATGTTATCTTAGCTTGGATAATTTGAATTAATTGAATTTGTTTACCAAAAATGTGAATATTGGGTGAATATAAAGCCTCATGCTCTTATTTCATGCAGAATAACCTTTCAACTGTAATGAATCTTGAATGGACTCTTGTTTGACACTGTGGCTGTTGGCCTGTGGCGTCCTTCAGTGTTCTGTTTTGACCCCTGTGTTATTTAACATGTACATGAAATCACTGGGAGATGTTGTCTGGAGTTTTGGGATTTGGTGTCAGCAATATGCTGATGACACCCAACTCTGTCTCTCCTTTCCATCTAAACCCAAGGAAGCTGTCTTGATTCTGTCTTGATGATTTTTTGTTTTTTCTATTGGAAACCATTAGACAGACCATCCAATGGTTTCCAATGGAGAAAATTCAAGTGCTCCTGGTCAGTCAAAAACCAGATTGAGGAATAGGATTGCAGCCTATGTATGCTTGATGGGGTTACACTCCCTCTGAAAACACATATATGCATCTTGGGGGTGTTCCTGGATTCATCTCTGAACCTGGATGCCCAGGTTTCAGCAGTGGCCAGGAGTGCCTTTGCACAGTTAAAACCAGTATGCCAGCTGCACCTGTTTCTTGAGAGGTCTGATCTTTCCACAGTGACACATGCCTTAGTTACATCTTGATTGGATATCTGTAACACACTCTACGTGGGGCTGCCTTTGGAAAATGTTCGGAAACTTCAAAGGGTCCAAAATGCCACAGCCAGATTGTTAATTGGGACTGGTTACAGGGAACATATAACTCCCCCATTAGAGCAGCACTGCTGGCTACTAATCTGTTTCTGGGTATAATTCAAACTGCTGGTATCGTTGTGTGAGGCACCACTGTATATAAAGAGAGAGGCAGAGATGGCAGGCCCAGCTCTTGCAAGAGAAGCTGGGCCGCTGTCTATCTAGATGGTGGTGGAGCAGGCAGCAGTGGCAAGGCAGGGAAATAACAGGGGCAGTGGGAAGGGGGTTGGGGACAGGCTTCCTGTGGGGGAAATGAACCAGGAAGTTAAATTAGGAAAAAGTTCATTGTTTCAGGAAAGCTTGGGCTCTCCAGTTTGGAACCAACACAAATCAATGAGATTTTTTGATGACCTTCCTGGTTCGTTTTTGTATTCATGCCCATATTTAATTAAAATATATAAAAATCAAATTTAAATTAAAAAATCACATTTTATTTTTTAAAAAATATATTTTATTTAATTTTTTAAATCCACCCTGAAAAAAGTAGAACATCTTAACATGTATTTGTTCAACTTTTTCCCTTTAAAGTCTGTAGCTCCTTCAATTTCTTTTGTTCAGGAATGGCCAGCTTGAGGATAGAAGCAGAGCTTTTGAATGTTATTGTTTCTAATATAGAATTTGTGTCATTTATTCTTTTGGACAAGGCTTTGCATCTTTGCCCAGGGTAGAATGCTGCAGGCTGGCAAAACCCGGCATACATTGAGAATAAGCAAGTGGACACCACAATTTCCACAGTATCTTTCCCTTTGTATTCCCACTGGATTAGAGTCCCAATAGCAAGCAAAAGGAACCTTTACAGTTTTGCAGTGAACGCAGGTTCTAATCTATTAACCCCCTCCCCATTTATTTTCTGTTTTAAATGTAAAGCTTAAATATGAATGATAAAACTATATTTAAAATCTCTTCTGATATCTCTATCTGTATCTCCAGTACTGACATCAAAATGTTGGAGTCTGTTGGCCTTAGTTCCATAGATTATGATGAATTCCTACTGCTAATGTAGCTTTGCATTGATTAATGTAGATATGAAGGTAGATATGAAGGAATGCACTATTTTATTTGTATGAAACAGAAGTAAATGTGTATAGCATTATTTATTTATTACTTTGATTTATATACCACCCCATTAGTGCCAAAGCACTGTTCTAGACAGTTTAGAGTTAGAACAAGCTACACAGCAATAAACAGTAGATACAACACAAATTCCAAAAGCATAGTCTAAAAAAACCTAAAAGCCAACATACTCTCTAATTTCCCGCCCTGCTGGGTGGGGCTCTGCCTCTCTCTCTCTCTTGCAGCTTTGCCCCTGCATGTATGCACAACTCAGCCCCCCTCCCCGGATTCCATCGTGACTGGAACCTAACATGATTGCTGTGTCAAGGAGCAAGACAGCTACATGGAGGGAAACAGAGTTGTGTATGTGTGTGCTCGCACCTAGCTTAGCGGGAACCTTGCTAACAGCCAATGGTGCAAACCACAGAGAAGTGAGACTGAAGGCGAGGCATTCAACCGGGGTCAACATGAAATGCCTCCCTGAAGAGTAATGTTTTTAACTGCCTCCTAAATGTGTACAAGGTGGGGGCCAGGCATAGCTTCTCTGGGAGTGATTCCATAATCTCAGTGGCATTGCCAAGAAGGTTGCATTGCAAATGTGTAGCTGTGCAACAGGATTTTAGCCGGTGTAACATGAGGCTACTTGGTGAGCATGACCTTGACCTTTTCACAGAAGAGTTAAAAATCAACTTGTTGAAGAATGGAATTATTTTTACTTGTTATTATTTTCAGCTGCACCTGGTGAAGGTTTCTTTATGGCTGAATTTAGCATGTCTGAAAATCTTTTAACGATATGCTGGTGTAGATCTTCATATTTTCAAAATACATATGTAAATGGCATTTTCTGATTGCTGCTTTGTTGGATTTTATTTTGGATAGCTTGAAGATGGACATACCTTATTTGATTACAATGTTGGACTCAATGATATAGTTCAACTTTTGATACGCTCAGATTCTGATGCTTCTAGTACTCCACTGACTAATCAAGATGGAAAACCCAGTCCCTGTGCAGTTGCCAATTGTAAGAACAAAGTCAAGCAAGGAGCAAACAGTGAAACATCTAATCTGCCATCTACATCTGCCCGCTCATTTCTCATTGATCCTGGCATTGGACAATACAAGGTATTTATGGCTTTTTGTAACCTTGGATTGCTAATTTAATATAATTGTCTGTTGTCTACTCCCATGAACATTATGAAGTCAAATGTCAAGTAAAATATCAGTTCTCTTATGGAAGAAAGGTACATACATATTAAAGAGGCGAGAGACAGCAAAGCGGAAAGTACAAATAGTGAAAGAATAATGCAGAGAGAAAAACTTCACATGCTTTCTGCCTGTTGGGAGCCCTAAAAACAGAAGTGAATGACATATGGAAATTAGTTGTGCATCACTCTCGGGGGTCTGGTCTACACTGAGACTCAGTGATGGTCAGAATCCCAGCCCTTGTAATACGTTTTCAGATCATGCACCTGGTCATTCAGCACATTTCTGTCAGCCAATTTCTTGAATGTTTATATTAAATTAATCAGCAGAGTGAAAACAAAACCAGACATTAGAAGTTTGTAGTCGGACATCAAAGCATAATTTCTTTTAGAATTGTCTGACCTTGGGTATGCCTTATTACTTTTCAAACTTTTCTCAGTAGAACCTAGTACCTTCTTGAGCCACCCCAATCACCTTTCTGCCAGTTTTGAGCAGTTGAGGTCTTCCCCAGGTAACCTTTAGTAATCTGTTATAGGTACAAAGATAAATATTGCTGTGTACCACAGTAAGCTTCCTTGCCATTTTAGTGGTCCCCTACAATTTATTTATTTATTTATGTGATTTTTACCCCGCCCCTCTAGACCATGTCTACTTGGGGCGGCTTACAAAATAAAACAAAACAGTACAATGGACACAACAATCTCCCAGCCATTTTTTTAAAATGAAAAGGACTAAGCCATTCCTCATTTAAATATATTGTAAATTTGTTTCTGTGTCTGTGCCTACTATGGAACATTAACTGTGATTTGTTTTTGCCATTCTGAAATGAAGATTTGAAGTTGGCTTAGAAATTCCAGCTTTCATTTATGTGGTCAGTTGACTGAACCCACAGTTCTGAACGCACAGTTCTGGTTTGAAGCTTCTCTTACTGGCACCTTTCCAGAACTTGACTGTCCTTGCTGTGGCTGGTAGCATACTCATTTCCTGACTTATCTCTCTCTGATCAACCCTCCCTCTTAATCCTGCTCATGTAACTTCAACAAAGCTTTGAAAGGAGAGAAAGATGTAATTGTAGTTTGGCTATGTTGCTAAGATCAGTCCAAGACCATATGGTTATAGAATCATATCATTCTAGAGCTAGAGGGGTCTCTATGAGTCAAGTCCAACACTCATTAAGTACAGATCTCTTAGATGAGCATACTATTCTGTTTCTTACACCTACAGAAAGTTAAAAATAGAATTTTCAAAAGACATAAAATAGTACTGATCTTTCCACTTAAGATCTCTCTCTGCACTTTTCATAGTCACTTAATGCCTCACTGAGAAAGTAAACACTCCAGGAGACAGTACAAAACCCCTTCTCATTTCTATCTGTTTAAATCTGTGATTGTTTTGTTTGTTCCACAATACTGAATGTGTTAAGCAAAAATATGCAATAACATTGATTGTAAAATTACACTAGATTTAATTTCTAGATCAAGCCTCGGAAGAGAAAAGGGGGGGGAGAGAGCATTTTTCCCTTCTGAGGCTTGCCGAAGGCTGGAGGAAGAGGCGGGAACTTTAAAAAGGGTTTCAGACAAGCCTCTGCAAATGCCGATCGCTGTGCAGAGGGACCCGGGCAAGTCCTCTCATGGTGCAAGGTAAGCCCCGGGGGACCGCCAAAACCGGCCCGGGTGGTTTTGGGGCACCCCGCCAGGGCTCTGATGGTGCAGGAGAAGCCATCAGAACCCTGACGGGGGTGCCCCAAAACCACTCACGCCTGGTTTAGAGCACTTTGGAGGCTTTTCCTGCACCGTCAGGAAAAGCCTCCAAAGTGCTCTAAAGCAGTGGTTCTTAACGTGGGCAATAATTTATTTATTTATTTATTTATTTATTGGACTTATATACCACCCCATAGCGCTACAAGCACTTACCCCAGGGGGCAATTTCATTTTTCAGGGGGGCAGTAGAAAGAAAAGGGGCAGTGTGGGGGTGAAAGAACCGAAGGGGGGCGCTGGGGGGGCGCTGGAGTGAGCCAAACCTATGAAGGCAACCTCAGCCGCAGTGCTGGCAGTAGATCTGGTGCTGCTGCCGCCGCCAGATGATCCAGCTCTTTCTACCTGCCACGTCTCGCCTTTCTCCTTTAGGGGAGCACTGAGAGTGGATCGGATGGAAGGAAAGGGCCTCTTGGGTCCTCATCCTCGCCCCGTGAAGCGCTGCCTTGCACCCGGGTGGGGAGGGAGACTAGGTAGGTAGGTAGATAGGTAGGTAGGTGGGTAAGATATCATCACCTCAGGGAGGGGGGCTATGATAACTTCCTCAATGGCTCAAGGGGGCGTTTCTTTCAAAAAGGTTAAGAACCACTGCTCTAAAGCAGGCACGGGTGGTTTCGTAGAGGGAAAAAGCCCCATTGAAACCATCATTTTGTGATCGCTAAAGTGATCGCTAAAAACATTGTAAAGCAATTTCGTCGTCAAGCGGGGCAGTCGTCTAGTGAGGCACCACTGTAGTTATTAGCTCTTTTCAGACCAATAAAGTTAAATGTAGTTTTGATGAATAAATATGAAGACAGTGCAAATTAAAAGAAAAAACTCAGTTACTATAGAGAATTTACAGTCTGCATTAGATGAATTTTTAGAGGGTAGTACCTGAAGCAAAGAATATGGATACAAATTTTAAATCATTTCAGCCTAGATTTAATGAAATGTTTGAGGAAATAGATGAAATGGATACCAAGTTGGAAAAGCATCTGATATGTAATAATGGTCTCAAGTTACAGGAAGACAGATTTTGGATGAATATCAGGAAAAACTTACTAACTGTTAGAGCAGTATGACAATGAAACCAATTATCTCGGGGATGGAGTAAGTGCTCCAATGCTGGAGGCATTCAAGAAAAAATTACACAACCATCTGTCATATATACCTTTACTTAGATTCCTGCCTTGAGCAGCTGGTTTATAGCCTTATAGGCTCCATTATTCTATGATTTTACATCTGAGAAAAAAACTTAAAGATGTGGAAAGTGATAAAAATAAGTCTTTAAAAGGATTACAGTGATGTGAAAAAGAATTGTATATGATATTATGTATTGGGACATAATAAAAATAATCCGGTCCTTAGCAGGCCCGAAAATTAGGTAAATGCAACCTCAGATGAGCAACAGCACATGACGTATTACACTATGTCATGATTTATTTAACAAAAATAAAGCCAAAATGGAGATTTGTGAAAAGCTAAGTAAACCTTATGATTAAATAGCCTGTAGAACCACCTTTATAAGCAGTAATTTGAAGTAAGCATTTTCTGTATGACTTTATCAGTCTCCCACATTGTTGTGCCAGAATTTTGGCACAACAAAATTTACAACATTATGTATTGGGACATAATAAAAATAATCCGGTCCTTAGCAGGCCTGGAAAATTAGGTAAATGCAACCTCAGATGAGCAACAGCACATGACGTATTACACTATGTCATGATTTATTTAACAAAAATAAAGCCAAAATGGAGATTTGTGAAAAGCTAAGTAAACCTTATGATTAAATAGCCTGTAGAACCACCTTTATAAGCAATAATTTGAAGTAAGCATTTTCTTAAATAGCCTGTAGAACCACCTTTATAAGCAGTAATTTGAAGTAAGCATTTTCTGTATGACTTTATCAGTCTCCCACATTGTTGTGCCAGAATTTTGGCACAACAAAATTTACAACATTGCTTCAGTTCATTGACATTCATAAGCTTTTGTTTATGCTTACAACATTGCTTCATTACAACACTGCTTCAGTTCATTGCGGTAAGCATTTGTTTATGCACAGAGTTCTTAAGGTCCCGCCACAGCATTGCAACCAAGTTGGGCCACTGCCTCACCTTGATTTTTTTTTCCTTTTTAGCCATTCTGTTGTAGATTTGTTGGTGTCTTTGGGATCATTGTCCTGTGGCATGACCTTGTTTCGACCAAGCTTTAAGTGTTGGACAGATGGCCTTACATTTGACTCTAGAATACTTTGGTATACAGAGGAGTTCATGGTCAACTCAGTGACTGCAAGGTTCCGAGGTCCTGTGGCTGCAAAACAAGCCCAAATCATTACTCCTCCACCACCATGCTTGACAGTTGGTATGAGGTGTTTGTGCTGATATACTGTGTTTGGTTTTCACTAAACATGGTGCTGTGTCACTTTGATCTTCACATCTCCACTTTGGTCTCTTGTGTCCAAAGGACATTGTTCCAGAAGTCTTGTGGTTTGTCCAGATGAAAATTTGCAAACTTAAGCCGTACTGCCATGTTCTTTTTAGAGAGAAGAGCCTTTCCCCTGACAGCCCTTCCAAACAAACCATACTGGTTCAGTCTTTTTCTAAGTCATGAACTTTAACATTCAGCGTTCTAAGTGAGGCTTACAGAGTTTAAGATGTAACTCTTGGGTTTTTTGCAATTTCTCTGAACATTGCGCAATCTGACCTTGGGGTGAATTTGCTTGGACATCCACTCCTGGGAAGACTGACGACTATTTTGATTGTTTTCTACTTGTGAATGATCTTCCTCACTGTAGAATGATGGATTTTAAATTGGAAATGGTGTCTAACTCTTCCCAGATTGATGGGAAGCAACACTTGCTTCTCTACGATCATTGCTGATGTGTTTTGTTAACACACACCTGAATGTTCCAGACCAGCAAACTGCTAAAAACCTCAGCTTTTATAAAGGTGGTCACACTTGCTGTTACTCAAGGTCATTTGGCTAGCAACACCTGGCTGCAACCTAGCCTCTTAATTCCTATGGAAGAAGTAAAGGTGTACTTAGTTTTTCGCACATGGCAACTCCATTTCGGCAATGTTTTTGTTTTTGGTAAATAAATTATGACAGTATAATATGTCATGTGTTGTTTTTCATCTGAATTTGTATTTACCTAATTTGCAGACCTGCTAAGGACCATATGATTTT